CGAGAGCTGGGGGGGGTTTGGAGCCCGAAATCCACGGGGGGAGTTTTCCTGGGGCTCATTCCACGAGCAGGAAAGGTTAAAACAGCCTCAGGCAAAGCTTCTCCCTCCCCACTCCCTGTTCAGCTGCCCTGGAGCAGCAGCTTTTCCCTCTGGTTTTCCAAGGAAACCTCTCAAGGAGGGGCAGGGGGGTTGTTTCCAAGCGCTGCTCCGGGGAAAGCTGCGGGAATACGGCCCGGGAAAGACGTGCAAAAAGCAGGAGGGGCTGTTGGGAATTGTTGGGATGGGAGAGGGGGAGCTCAGGAGGGATTGCTGGGATGGGAGAGGGGGAGCTCAGTTGGGAAGGAGGGATGAGTTATCCCGGGAAAAGAGCAGCCGGGGGGTGGTTGTGCGGCGACTGTTCCTCGTCAGTCAGTGCGGGCGGGCATTCCTTAATTAGCTCCCTAATTAATCCCGGCAGCGGGCTGGTTGGATGAGTCCCAGGGAAGGTTTTGGGATCTGGGAGCTCCATAAATAAAAAGGGGATTGATTTCTGTTTGTCTCTCTGTTTGTTTGTTTGCTTTCCCAAGGGCTCCGAAGGTCCCGGAAGGCGGCGCCGGATCCGCGGGATGAGGCTCCGGGCGGGTTCCCGGCGTTCCCACCGATCCAGGGTGTCCATAAATAAGGCTGGGAAGGGGGTTCTGCGGCACAGGGAATCTCGGGGGGGGGTGAGGGAGGAGCAGAACCCTCATTTTAGCCGCTCCACCAGTCCCTGGGTGAGTCCGAGGTGCAGGAGCTGAGGCCGGGACAGGGTGGCCAAGTGGGGGAAATATTCCAGGAGCTTTTCCCAGCACAGTTCCAGCAGGCTGGGAACCACCAGCCACAGCTTGAAGAGGGAGCCAGTCCGTTTGTTCTCGTGGATGTTCACCACCCCTCCGTGCACGTACATGCAGCCGGCCTGCGGGAACACGGACACGGAATTACGGAGTGGGAAAAGAGGGAAAACGGGAGCGATCCGGGGGAGCTCCGGCCCAAAAATTCCATCTGAGGAGAGGGACAAAGGGTTGAGAAATCACAGCCAGGAAAAGCAGGAGCTGGCTGTGGAGTTGCTCTGGATTTTGGGGTGATTTCCACCACAAAAAATCCACTTCAGAATTTTGGGATTTAGGGACAAAGTGTTATTAAATTACTATGGAGTCTAAATGGGAAGAGAGGGAATTACAGAGGGATAGCACAGCCAGGAAAACCAGGAGCTGCTCTGGAGTCTGGGGGAGTTCCACCCCAAAAATTCCGTTAAAATGGAATGGGACAATGTGTTAATAAATTAGGATAGAACCTGGATGGGAAGAGAAGGAAAGGAGAGGGAATTACACAGGGAGCAGGAGCTGCTCTGGATTCTGGGGGAGTTCCAGCCCAAACATTCCATTAAAATGGAATGGGACA